GGGGGCGCCCCGCGCGGCTTCCGCCGGGCGCCCCGCCCCTCTGACTGCTGTATTCTATCAGTTAGAAGCTTATCACTGAAGGAGAAGGGGTTATCAAGGTTATGAACAGCAAGAGGTTGGAGTTGTTGGGGACCATATTAGTCTCCTTGTCATACCCATCTATTTCCAGTTCCTTTCTCAGCCTCTTTATTTGGATGCCCTATAAACATTTCAAACTCAACAAGTCTAAAACAGAAATTGTATTCAACATACTCCTCCTGTCTTGCCCCAAACGTGTCTCTCCTTCAGGGTCCCCTGTCGAGATAAATAGCACCACTATCTCCAAAACATGAGGGTTCTCCTGACTTTCTCCCTCTTGTGCCTCGGTTTTGGTCATCTGGTCTTGGGATTCTCCTACATATTTACCTGATCCACCTACCTCCCACTGCTAACCTCCCATTCAACTTTCCACTTCCACCTCCGACCATCACAGGTCTTCTGTAGGGCCTCTGGGTTCCATTCTTCCGTCTTCACACCAGACTGAGAGGATTATTTGAAACACCTAATCTTACTGGCTGAAGCCATTTGTGCCAGTCATTCTTTGTGTCTCACTGCCCCATCAATCCCCTTTTCTCATCTGATTTGAGTGCAGCTGTGGTGTGCGTGTATGTGCTAGTTCTGTTCTTGGGGTCAACATCCCTCAAGTGCACCTGGAAGGCTCTTATCCAAGGTGCATTTGACCCTGAAAAGGTCCCGAACAGTCGTGAGCCCTGGTTTCCAACCTTGGCAGTCGCAACTCAGTCATGTACCTTTACTGAAGTTCCTACTCCCATTCCGCATTTGTCTGCTCCTCACCCTGACTTCCTGGGATCACCTTCCTAATAAACTGCCTGCACCCAAGTCCTTGCCTCAGGCTGTGCTTTTGGGGGAATCCAAACTAAAACAACTGTCAGTGTCTTCCTATTCGTTTTTGGGCAAGTCCCACATTTTTAGTATGACTACAGATTGCTGCATCATTGGGCCCCTTCCTGTTTTCTTCAGCCATCTCCTATCACTGCCCACTTGCCTACTTTGCTTCAGTCACTCTGGCTTTTCAGCTTTTTGAGCTCACCAAATGGCGTACTTTTCTGGTCAGAGTCTTTACTTGTTATTCCCTATTTCCTACTTGCCACATGGCCAAATTCCATTCATCTTCCAGTCCTAGGTGAAACTTTGTTTCATTAGAGGAGTGTTCTGTGGTACCCCAAACTAGACGAGGTCTCTTCGAAGTCCATTCTCATAGTGACCTGTATCCTTCCTTCATGGCACTTAGTACAGAAAAGTGTTGTCTACCTACTAGGATGTCAGGTCTGTAAGACATCATTGTGGTCTTTTCATTGTATCTCCAGTGCCTGCCAAAGTGCCTGCCATAGAGGAGGGGTACCTTCTATTTAGGTCATGAATAACAGAATTGATCTCTCAATCAGGAAACATGTTTCAGGGATAGAGTGTCAGTGAACTGGAAAGATGGAAGTTGGTCTGTGAGCAGCTAGCAGAGAGACCTTGGCAAAGTCATGTACCTTCTCTGTGCCTTCGTTTCCTCACCTCTCCTGTCTCTCACAGAACTGCTAGAAGACTCAATGAGAATACATTGAAAAAATGCAACCCCAAAACCTGGATATCTGGGTAACTAATAGGTTAATTTTTTCTCCCCTCAGACTTTAGACTAGGAGATGGCAAATTTTCTCTGCAAAGGGCCATGTGGTCTCCTCTGTTGAAGCAACTCATTTCTGCTGTTACAGTGTGAAAGTAGCAACAGACAATATTATATAAAGACCTTTACATGTGAATGAGCATCCTTGTGTTCCAATGAAACTTCACTTGTAAAAACTGGAATTTGAATTTCATATAATTTTCACATATCATGGCATTTTATTCTGCTTTAAGCTTATTTTCCCCAATCATTTATGAATGTAAATGCCAGGGCCAGCCAATGGCATGTGGTAAGGTGGCTAGAGCTCACACAGCCAACTGCATGATTTGGGTCCTGGACCTAGTAGTTTGAAAAACACATTTAAGTTTGTGTGCACATGTGCCCAAAATCCCAGCAGGAGGAAGAGACAGAGGAGGGACCAGCATTTGGTGTAATGGGTACGTCACTGGACTCCAATATAGTCAACTGCAGTTCAAGTCCCAGACCCAGTGGTTCACACTGGACGCTTGTGCATACATCCCCAAGATCCCAAAAGGAGAATGGAGGAGAAGGGATTACGGCATGGCCATCCCCCCTAGGGGGTGATTTCTCACTTTCTGTTTCTCTGTCTCTCTCTGTCTTTCTGGCAAACACACGTACCTTACAGCAAAAACTTCTCAAAAGAAAAAAAAAAAAGAAAAAGAGATAGAGGAGAGAGAATTATGGTGTGACCATTCTCCATAGTGGATGCTTTCTTGCTTTCTCTCTCTCTCTCTCTCTCTCCCCTTCCACCCACACTCTCCAGTGGGTACATGCCCCATCTGGCAAATTTTTGAAAAAGAAAAATGTAAATGCCATTTTTAGCTCAGAGGCTGCATAAAAATAGACTGGGATGTATTTGGCCCTTGGGCCATGGTTAGATGACCCTGGAGGGTGTAGAATTGTGCTGTTCTGTGTAGTACTGAGTAACCATATGTGACATTTAAATTTAATTAAAAGTTAACTCCTGGGACCAGCAGTTAGCATAATGGCTATGTCGGTGGACTCCCACATAGTCGACCGCGGGTCAAGTCCCCGACCCAGTGACTTAAACTCATACTGGGCGTGTGTAGCAGCTTGAAACTCATACTGGGCGGGTGTGCATGCATGCCCAAGATCCCGAGAGGAGAATGGAGGAGAAGGGATTGCGGCGTGGCCATCCCCCCTGGGGGGTGATTTCTCGATTTCTGTCTCTCTGTCTCTCTCTGTCTGTCTGGCAAGCGCACGCGCCCTATAACAAAAACCTCTAAATAAATAAATAAATAAATACATAAAATTTAGCTCCAATGTTGCACTAGTCACATTCCAAGTGGTTGGTAGCCATGCCATGTGGGCCCAGTGGCTACCATGATGGATAGCACAGAGCATTTCCACCAACACAGAAAGTTCCATTGTACGGCTCTGGTCTTTATAGAATAAGCCTGAGGGATGCCCCCTGCACTCCCAGGGCTAGTTAGCTGGTTGGTGGTAGAGCAAGACAGCTGTCAGGCCTCTTGGCATTTCGCTGGACCATGGCTGCTGGAAACGTTATGACTTCAGAGGGATTGCCCTGCTGGATTTTAAGATCAACACTGTTGTGAAGAATATAATATGTGATAGAATTCAAAACCAACGTTAAGCGCTGTTCATTAGGTTCAGAAAGAAAACATTTTTAAAAATGAAGTTTAGTCTATTGCTGGGAATAAGTGTACTTTTTGTCTCTTTCTTCTCTTTTAGAATGAAAAGAAAGTTTTATTCCTGGGAGGAATGCATGAACCTTCGGGAGGTTAAGGTATTTATTAAGACACTGGGGAATAATTTATGTATTGCTGGCTAAAATAATATATTATGTAGTCATTCCATTTTAATTTTTTTTGCTAATGCTGAACAGGGGAGAAATGATAATATTAGGTGACTAATAGCTAAAAATAGACTACTATGTTATTATATTCGTGAATACACTGTTATTAGAAAGCTTGGTGGTAGTTAAGGGCACTGGACTGCCACATGGCTGACCACGGTTTGAGTCCTGGACCTGGCAGCTTACTTTCTCACTTTCTCTCTCTCTAAAAATCTTTCCCTCTCTGGTCAAATAAAAATAAATAAATAAATAAAGTTAAATAAAATAATTCTTAAAAAAAAAAAAAAAGAAAGCTTATAGCTTTAGTGGACTGCTTGCATCAATATATTTGAATGTAAATAAGTTGAATGTGTTGATTTAGTCAATTATTGTCTCTAAAGGTCATTATCCTAATCATTACTGTTATATAAAGGAAAATCTGCTTGTTGAGTATTTTTCTTAGACATAGTAGCAGTACTTATTTCCGTTTCTTGCTCTGATAATTTGCATTTTACTGTCTGTGATGACATTTTTTGATCAAGGTGGAGCCGTATCAAGCATGGCGTAGTGTAGCTCTTCACTCACACCCAACATTCTGCATGGATAGACTGAGTGAGGCCTTCCTTTTCTCTTCCCCTTCTTTCCCGTTTTTTTCACTTCTCTCCTTGTTGCTATCAGAACAGGTGGACTGCTTGGAGTTTTATAGATGCAAATCTTTTCCTCGTGGACTGGAGTGGTGCTTTACTCACTCTTAGTCTTATAGCCCAGCCTTGTTAAGACACCTAATAGAATGTTGATACCCAGCCCTTCCTTTTCCCTCAAGGAAATCTGTACATGGAAGGAGGGTTACCAGTTTAGGGCAAGAATTGCAGACTTTTTCTGTAAAGGAACAGATGGCAAATCCTATGCTTTATGGGCCAAAAGGTCACAGAACATATTATATAGGTATCTCCATAACAATAGCAAAAACATATCTGCATATATTTTTATTTATAAAATATAAAATAGATAATAATAATTGAGACTTTTTTTGTATTAAAAGTCTTTCAATGAGAAAAATGATACTTTTTCTTTGGGGAGGCATAACTTTGATTTGATTGGGGTTCAAAGTTAGTGTTCTCTGTTTTCAAATTAGTTGCAAATGTTCATCTATTAACTGGTATACCATAAGAAAACAGATGATGGGCCCTCTGTGGGTCCTAGTTTGCCAGCCTCTGGTTCAGAGAATAAAAGCTTTGAGAGTTCCAAAACATCAGAGATAAAAAAAACAATAAAGGAAGATCCAAAGGCACTTTTTCTGTGACATGAAGTTCTGAGTGATTCCTGGACTTGGATGTTAAACCTTTACTCTTCTGCCCTACCTACTGTGAGGTCTAGCGGAAGAGAGATTGCTCATACCTAGAGCTTGGGAAAACTAGGCACGTAGCACCTCCAGAAGCAAGTGGTTGCCTCAGCAAGAAGGTTAAAGAATCTGCCCCTCTAGCCGATGCCCACCGACTGTCCCCATTCTCTTACCTGCACATATGCCACATCTGCTGCCAACTGGGATGGGCTCTACCCCCCCTTCCCTTGTTGACCCTTACACAGACCTACAACACTGGACTCCAGCCAACCTCTGCTACAGAGGACAGGGAAGAAGTGGGTAGAAAGGAGTGCTTGGATCAGCTGGTGGTGTGGTGGTTAAGGCAACTAGAATCTATGTGACCATCTACATGGTTCAAGTCCTGGGCCCAGCAGCTTGAGAAACTTGTGAGATGCATGTGCTTGTGTGCCCACAGTCCTGAAAGGAGGGAAAATTGAGGAGAAGGGATTGTGGCATGGACATCCCCCATGGGGGAGGGGGTTGCCTTCTCACCTTCCTGCTCACCTTCTTTCCTTTCTCCCTCTTGCTCTCTGTCTCTCTCTGGAGAGTACATGTGCCCTCTGGTGAGTTTACCAAAAAAAATAAGAAGCATATTCTAAGATTTCTCATCCCTTCCTTCCTGTTAAGGTCCTCCTTTTCTGCCTCGTGACTGAGCAGGGGAAGGGAAAGGGAGTTCCTTAATGGACTCTTGTTACCATCATTTCCCATGTCCTGTCAGATGCTTCATCCCAGCAGCAAAAAAAGTGAAGGGAAATCCTGCACCTTGGGCTTCATTACGCCGTCACCTCTTTTTCTTCTCCATTCATCCCCATGTCCGCCTCTGGAGAGCCTGTGGACTTCAGAAAGCTTCTACACCTGGTAGCCAGCTATAGGGATGTCATTGGAGGAATGGGACCTGGTGACATTTCTCTGTGAAGAATTGTCTTATGTGGTTGTACAGTGTTCTAGACACTCTCCTGAGGTAGGAGACTGCCTGCCTCCTGCCTGCTCTGTTCCTTTGCTATTTTTTTTCTTTTTAAAAACAATTATTTATTGGAACCTATAGCTGGCGTAATGGTTATGTTATTGAACTTCCACAAGGTCCAGCGTAGTTCAAGCCCCAGACCTGATGGCCTAAAACACATGCCAGGCCCGTGTGCATGTGCGCCCAAAATCCCAAGAAGAGAATGGAGGAGAAGGGACTGCGGTGAGGGCATCCCCCTTGAGGGTTTACTTCTCACTTTCTGTTTCTTTGTCTCTCTGGTGAGCACACTCACCCTAGAGCAAAAATCTCTCTCTCTTAAAAAAAATTATTTAATTTTATTTATTATTTTTATAATTTAATTTCCTATGGGGTATGTGCACTCATCAGAAAGAGAGGGAAAGTGAGAAAATAAGCTGCCAGGTCCGGGACTCTAACCACAGTCAGCGATGTGGAAGTCCAGAGCCTTAACCATCACACCACCGATTGACCCCTTTTTCTTTAAAATCTTCTTAACTTCTGATATCATTAGATCCTTGCTCCAAAAATGTCTTGGTCCTCCCATAACTTTCCAACGGCTCAGCTCTTTCTCCCCTTGAGCTTGCACCTCTTTTCTTTCCTTACTTCGCCTTCCAAACGTCTTCAGTGCCACTTCCCCACGTACCATTTATTTCTCAGCCTAATCAAATCAGGCATCTCGCTCTGCATCTCCACCAAATCAACCGGATTTGCCTGAGATTTCAGTGGGTGTATACCTGGCATCTGAGCTCTCTGCCTCCCGCTCACTTCTCCAGACAAAATCTTCCAGATAAATCTCCTTCAGAACGAGACTGGAGTGATTCTCATTCTCATTCTCATTCTTCAGACTTAGAACTGACTCTGGGATTCTAAGTCTTAGATGGATAGGCCTCCCCCCCATAAATCTTTTCCCTCCAAGTGAGCTTGAGTGTGTACACGTCCTTCACATCCCATCTTGGGCGATGCCCTCACTGGTCGTTCAGTTTGCCGATTATTTCTTCTTGAAGCATCTCTGGTGTTCCTTGTTTCTGTCCTTCCTTTGACACACAATATGGTCTTCTTATTCTGTTACATGTATTTTGGATCCATGTCCTGTCTTCCGGTTAGGTTGTTTGCCTCTTAATAGCAGGCACTGTGTCTTATGCCCCTGGTTGTTGTGGGTTTTTTTTTCTGAGAGATTTTTGTCTTAGGGCTCATGCACTCACTGGAGAGAGAAAGAGAGACAGAGACAGTGAGAGGGAAAGTGAGAAATCACCCCCCGGGGGAGGGTCACACCGCAATCCCTTCTCCTCCAGTCTCCTCCTGGGATCTTGGGCATTCACACACATGTTCCTGGTGTGACTTTGAAGCCATTGGGTCTGAGACTCGAACAGTGGTCGGCCATGTGGGAGTCCAGTGACATAACCACTATGCTATCTGCTGGTCCCCAGTACATTGTAGTTTTAATGGTTAGGAAATGATCTGCCCCTCAGGAAGGAAGAATTAATAGTAGCCACCTGGAGTTATCATCCATGGGGACCCATTGGGACTGTTGACCAAGTTTAATTTGCTACTTCTCTTTCTGAGCTCAGATACAACTGACCTGCATCTACCTCTCCTTTACAAACCTTTCCTGTGTCAGAACAAGATACTTTCTTTTTGGAAATGTTCTGTAAAATGAGTCATATGAAGTCTCCTACACAAGATTAACCCATTTTATATATATATATATTTTTTTTTTTTTTTGGAGAGGTTTTTTTGCTATAGGGTGTGTGCGCTCGCCAGCCAGACAGAGAGAGACATAGAGACAGAAAGCGAGAAATCACCCCCCTGGGGGGATGGTCACGCTGTAATCCCTTCTCCTCCATTCTCCTCTTGGGATCTTAAGCACGCACACACATGCGCCTGGCGTGTTTTAAGCCACCAGGTCTGGGACGCGAACTGCGGTCGACTACGTGGGAGTCCAGCGACATAGCCATTACACTAACTGCTGGTTCCCTGTATAATTTGTTTTTTAAGTGAGCTTTTTGCTATAGGGCATGTGCGCTTGCTGGAGAGACAGAGACAGAAGGTGAGAAATCACACACACACACACACACCCAGGGAGGATGGCCATGCTGCAGTCCCTTCTCCATTCTCTTCTAGGGATTTTAGGCATGCATGCACACATGCCCAATTTTTAAGCCGCCAGGTATGGGACTTGAACCATGGTCTACTATGTGGGAGTCCAGCAACATAACCTTTATGCCATCTGCTGGTCCCGAAACCCATTTTATAATAAACTATTATAATACAGCCTTTAACTGACTCATGACCCTCACTTAGCAACAAGAACTGTGAGCCTCAGTTAGGACTTGGGCCAGTAATATATGCTTGAAACTCACTCCTGTCTAAGAGCTGAAGGTACTCCATTTCTTACCTAGAATTACCTTCTAGAGAGCTTTTAAACTGATTTTATTTATCTCTGAGTGAATTTGCCCAAGGCTCTTATCCACTGACTGTCTCAGCCATTGCTTCTGATGCAAACAGTCAGAAAAGATGGCTACAGTCCGTAAGAGTCCAGTGAATGTTTTAAGTTAAGCCACATTTGTGTTTGTTCCTCATGGAGAACCAGGAATCCAACCCACCTGAAAGAAGTAATCAGCCCAGGTGGGTCATTCTAGAAGTAACTGGCCAGTTGGCCAAAAGAGCTGAGGATTCCCTGCCAGAGAACTGACATGAACTCGCCCTTCAGGGAGGTGGCTCCAGGAGAGTCCTGTTTTGTTCTCACTCACAGGACATAGTTCCTCTCTCTTCCTAGCTGCTTGAAGTAACTTGATCATGTCACACATTCCCAGCCTCTGATGTATAGGAACATTATCCCTGAACACCATTGCAGATCTGGAATTTGTTCGTAACACTTTCATCAGTAAGTGTTTTGTTTTATAAAAGGAATAATCTGTTTAGTGATATTCAAAGATACAGAAGACTTTACAATTTATTTATTTATTTATTTTAGGTTTTTGCCATAGGATGAGTACATTCACTAGAGAGAGACAGAAAAAGAGACAGTGAGAGGGAAAGTGAGAAATCATTTCCTGGGGTGATGCCCATGCCACAGTCCTATCTCCTTCACTCTCTTCCTGCGATTTTGGGCATCCATGCACATGTGCCCTGCATGAGTTTCAAGCTGCCAGGTCTAGGACTCGAACTGCATTTGGCCACGTACAAATCCAGCACCTTAACCACTGAGCTACCTGCTGACCCCATATAATTTTTTTTTATTATTAGACTCACTTCTCTATAAGGAAAAGGATTTTTGAATTGAAGTGCTCATCTCACTGGCCGTAGTGACCCTTGGGGGCTTCCTTGGAAGAGATAGTCTATCAAATTCTGCTTATCTGGAGGGACCAGACCACTAGTTGGGTATCTCTGGGTGCTGTACATGAACAGAATCACTGTTCACTATTACAAAAGTGGATTCACTGTGACGGTTGTAAAAGGTGGCATCATTGCCCATGCCACTTGGTATTGATCTGTTTCTAGCAGGAGAGGATAACTAAAAGGGGTATATTACTAGACTGAATTAAACTGGGCTAAACAAGCCTCCATAGTTGGGCAGTAAAGGTTGGGCCAGATCCAGCCACAGTGGTGCAAGTGTAGGGCACCATTGCATGAGCACACGTGCTGAGGCAACATGAGAGGCCTGGGTTTGGCTCCCAGCCTGTGATCCTAGCTGTTGGTAGGCTAAGGCGAGGAGGGAAAGACTCTGTTTTTATCAAAAATGAAAACAAACAAACAAAAAAACCCTCTCTTTCTCTTCCTTTTTCTCTTTCCTACACACACACACACACACACACACACACACACACACACACACACACACACACACACACACACACACACACTTTCTTTCTCATTTAATAATAAGAAAAAAAGAAGAAGAAAAAAAGGCCCAAAAGCAGTCACTGTGTATCCTGGACTGCAAACTATTGGGTTGTCAGAAAAGCCACGATGCATTTTTGCATAGAAAAGCATGTCATAGAAAAGACTTTTCTGATAACCCAATAGTGTGATATGCAAACAAGTTGTAACTTAACCTAAGAGTCTACCCTGGTAACCAAGCAGCTTCTAACTGAGCCTCAGCCAGTTAGAAGCTGAAAACTGCCAAATGCTAACCTCTGCCAATCAGGTTGTTTCTTTATGTTACTTCCTTTGGTCTGTCTATAAATATAACTTGCACATGTGTACCATAGAGTATTTTGAACTGTTTTCTGTCCCAGTTCTAGAATCATAATTAAAGTCAATTAAGACCTGCAAAAAATAAGTATTTGTTCATTGTTTACAGAACTAATGATTCAAACGAAAAATAGTTTACAAGTGGCCATACTCACATATGTTCACATGTTCCAGGAAGAGGAAGGCTACATTTGTGTGAGGATGAGTAATCAGAAGTTCATGCTGTTTTCTTATCCCCTTCCTGGCTATTTTTGCCTTTGTGTTCTTAGAAGAAAAGGGATCTCCTTCATCTCACTTCAGGCTCTTTCCAGGAAGGGGTCTCCTTCTCTGTAAATGAAACTCACACTGTAAGAAGGAACACTCTACCCCTCTTGGATAGACATGAGTCAGACCAAAGCTGAGAGAATCAGCAACCAGTCTGTCAGGTAACTTTCTCTTTGCAGTATTTACAGTCTATTGATGGGTCATCTCAGCCCAAAGCAGCTGAACTCTCCAGTTTTAGAAGAATCACAGCCTCAGCTTCCTTTATATTTATTTCCCACTCACCATTTCCACAGTCTGAATTCCATCACCTGGAAGAGGTGGGCCTAAAAAAGGCTTGACACATTGCCTGGTGCTGGGGGCAGCTGGAAATACAGGTCCAATGCTCACTGCCTTGTCAGTTCATTGAAATAATTTTTCTAGGTAAAGTTACTGTGATTTTAAAGATGTAAATATTTAATAAGTTGTGTATAAAATATAAGCTATGGCATTTCTGTGGTCCTAAAGTGTTTCTTCCTAATTTTATATATATATATTTTTTTTTCTTTTTTTTTTTTTTTTTAAGAGAGAGATTTTTGCCATAGGGTTTGTGCACCAGAAAGATAGAAAGTGAGAAATCACTGCCCTGGGGTGGGGGTTGGTCATGCCACAATCCCTTTTCCTTTGTTCTTCTCTTGTGATTTTGGGCACATACACACGCATACCTGGCATGAGTTTAAGCCAAGTTTAAGCTGCTGGGTCTGGGACTTGAACACAGTCAACTACATGGGAGACCATGATATATAAACGTTACCCCATCTGCCGGTCTTAGTATATATTTTTTCAACAATAGATTTTTCTCTGATGTTTTTCCCTTTATCTTTCAGTCTTTAAAGAAGCTCAACCACGCCAATGTAGTAAAATTAAAAGAAGTTATCAGGGAAAATGATCATCTTTATTTTATCTTCGAGTACATGAAAGAAAATCTTTACCAGCTCATTAAAGAAAGGTACAGTTTGGTCATCATGATCTTAGAAATAAGATATTACAAAGTGGTTTTTGTTTATTTCAGTCTGTCAGGTCTTCTCTAGTCATTTAACAGTCATGCTACTAGGGTTTAGTGTTGAAAGCTGCTCACTAGATGAAGGGCCCAAACCACAATTGATCATGGAGTTCTTGTGTTAGTTTCACAGAAGCAACTGTCCATGCAGCCAGTCTCATGTTTAACTCAAAGCCCATGATTTAAAAGACCCTGTAGTTGTCCATGCCAGGAGGATATATGGGCCAAGCAAATCCAAGGCAGGGGTGCAACACCTTCATTTATTTTGAGATCTCCATTGAAAAGTTCTAGATAGATTTCAGTTCCTCTCCTGTTGCCGTGCTTACTAGGTACTTACATGCTGGGAGAAGAAGACTAATAAGAGATCTATTTGCTATGGTAATTTTGAACTTTGAAAGTAAACCCTAGAAAGCCTCTTGGGCACAGTTTCTTGGTGGCAAAATAAATGCCATTCACAGCATCCCTTCAAAGTGATTTGAGCTGAATAAATATCTTCATTGTCAGTAACAGCAGTAAAACTGTGGTTTTGCCAAACAGGGAGGATATGTTAGTATCCATGGTATCTGATTAAACTTTTGGATGACCTTAAGTTTTTTTCTACTAGAATATTAAAAAAAGTTTTGTTTATATCATAGAAAAGGAAGATTTTTAAGATTTTTTTTTTTTAAATTTACCAGAGGGTGCATGTACTTGCTAGAGAGAGACACAGAGAGAGGGAAAGTGAGTCGGCACCTCCCCATGCAATTCCTTCTCCATTTCTTCCCTCAGGATTCTGGACGCACATGTACATCCGCACACATCCCTCAGGATTCTGGACGCACATGTACACAAGCTGTGTGGTCTAAGACTTGAACTGCATGGCTGGCCGTGTGGGTTCTAGCTTTCTTAACGACCACACCATTGACTGGCCCAATTTTCATATTTTTGTATGCTATGTTGGAGGGTTTTGTTTTGTTTACTATACATGTTTAATCTTTTTGGTAATATAACTGAATATGTTTGGTGTTCATAAGATAATTCACCTATGTAAACAAAAACATTTTCACCCTCTGATATTCATTATCAAAGGATCTGATCAAAATTAGCATATGAGTGGATGTTTTCTTAATTTCTTACTAGGTAACCAAAAGAACATGAAAATAGGACTCATTTTCATACCGAAACCCAGATTTATAACTTATTTTTCCTCTACCCCATACAGAAATAAGTTGTTTCCTGAGTCTGCTATAAGGAATATCATGTATCAGATATTACAAGGACTTGCATTTATCCACAAACACGGTAGGTGATGTGGAATATTGTGCTTTCAATTAGCAGTGAAATATTGTCATCAAGTAGAAGGTATAAGAAGCATTATGTTCTTCTGTAATTGACTTCCAGAAAAGGTTGCGGACTTAAGAGGCTAACCGTAGATTTAGAATATATTTTATCTTTTATAACTTGACTTCTGATTCTCCCTCATTTTTAATACCATGTCTTTAGGGAGTTTTTTTTTTTTTTATTTAGACTTTAACTTTAAGCTTGTTAGTTTTAAATCTTAAGAATTATTTCTGAACATGAACTGATACATTAATGAGAAATCTAAAATGAGAATACTGAGAAATTTTGTGTATTGTGTTTAACCCAGTAATTAACTCTGATTTAGCGTGGCTTCTCATTTTCTTCATGTATTTATATTTGAGCTTGTTTCAAAGGAGTAAAAGTGATCTAGCAAGATTATGCAAAACAGGAAAATAAAATGAAAAAAATGAGCAAATATAAAATAAAAAGACAAGGCCAACTTGGTAGCACAGTGGTAGTGTGCTGTTCACGTGATGCTGGATCCATATGAAGATCATGGGTTTGGTTCCCTGATTGGCCTGTACATGGTGGGCACATATGCACCAGTGATCTTGGCTAGCGGGGTAGGCTGGGTCGGGGGTGGGGTCATGATATAAGGTCCTACTGAGAATAAGCCTCTCTCTTTCTCTCTGTCTCTCCCTTTGTCTCTTGCTCTTATGAAAGAAATGGGCAAAACAAGGTCTGGGTATAGTCAGGAGTAAGGTTAATCCTCAAAAAGCATGATAGCAGGTTTTATTTCAGTGGAAGAGGCAGGCTACCAATTTATCCAGAGCCTGGCATCTGAGCTTGTTGAAGCATGACCAGTTATTGCATAGAGTTTCCCCAAAGTAAGCAGTTGCCACCAAAAAGCAGAAATACTCAGGATACCAAAAACAGAGAGAAGCTAGATCTCTCCTAGACCCTTTCAGGGGTACTACATAACAAAGTATCAAACAGTTACACAGGGCAACTTGATGTCATATGCCTCAAATTGTATATTACGGCACCTGATTAAAGTTAACTATTCTACAGGGGCCCCATGTGATTTGCTTTAAGGGTCTGGTTAGCTTAGGGAGAAATTTAGAATATCCAGGGGAATGGATGGCCACCTACCCATTAGGAAGTCCTCCATCACCACTGTTTTACTTAGTTAAGCTTTTGGAATTAAGCAACACTGAGTTTGAGATGGTATTCTCTAGCAGCTACCTTGAGCATTGCTGGTCTTTGTCAGGAGCTGGATATAGACTCAGCTGGGGTTGGATGGATCCCTTCAGTGAGCACAAGGCCATAGGATGACGTATCCATGAATGAAGTCAGAAGGCCATTTCAAAATATTTTTATTTTTAAAAAGAATTATTTATTTATTATTTTAAAATTTGGTATATGTCACATGTCCTCTCCAGAGAAAGAGGGAAAGTGAGAAAGCACGTCCCCAGGTCTGGGACTCAAACCCTGGTCTGCCTTGTGGGAGTCTAGCACCTTAACCATCATGCCACCTGCTGGCCTCAGAAAACGTTTTATTTTTTGAAAAGGTTTATTTATTGCCTGAGTGAGGGAGAAAGAGAGAGAGAGGGAGATAATAGCACCCTGATGGTGTCCCAGTGCTGCAGGCCACCCCCAGTGTCAGCCAGCCTGGATCATTGGCACATATGCCTGGTGTACTCAGGAATGTCTCTAGGCTTGAACCAGGAACCGGCCCAGGTGGGTCTGCCTCCATTTTATTGCTGTACCATTGTCCAGGCCCATCAGGAGGTCATTTTAACATATACACAGACAGATGGGCAAAGTAGCTGCTTTTGCATAGGCAGAAATTCATTCACTCTTAGTTCAAGGATGTTTTTGGTATTGCAAGTATGCAACCACATATGAGGTGATCAAGTTAAAGCCCTTTGATAATGCAGCCAGTTCTGATTTGCTGCAAATTGGCAGTGAGTAAAAAGATGCTATGCTGCAGAAGGTGGCAGGGTCCCTCTGGGATATCACTAGCCTACTCTTTACCCCCTAAGTGCACTCTAACGATCAGAGACTAAGTGAAACACAGACAACACTGGCTACAAGCACAAAGCCTTGGCAGCCTCAGGCACGTGATGAGTGCATAGTGAGTGACATGCAGAACTGAGTCAAATCGTGAACCGATGTTAGTGCAGTTTCTGGTACAAGTTCTTTCTGATTCCACTGACATTTATAGAGCTAGCACTTTAGCCTTTAGTCACAAGAATTCATAGGGATTGTGTGAATGTGCAAAACACTAAAAACTTCTGGTATGTTTTAGGGGCAAATAGGAGAAAAAGGGTCACTTACTAGATTTAAGAGCTCAAAAAAAGGAAATCTTGAGAAATCAAAGGGCTTCTCATAAGAGATAGGTCCCCGAGCAAGTCTTCATGTAGGGACCAATCATAACCTCTCAGTTATTTGGGTCATTTGCTCAGTGCTGGAAATGAAGTGAGGGCTAAAGGAAAGTTAGTATTCTTTGGCTTTCTCTTGTTTTTTGTTGTTGTTGTTGTTGTTGCTTTCATGAGATTCAGACCCAGTTATTTCCAGGAAGAACTTAGAGCCTTTTGTCTAGATCTCTGTACCTAATCTAATATGTGTTCATATATACATACACCACACACATGCAGATGTACACACCTGCACCCCCACATGTGAACCTCCACACGTGTGCACACATATGCACACTTCTACATGTACATATACTCACATCCATACGTACCTGCACATACACTCATCTCCCATATATACACACATACCCACAAATACAATTACACATGCATGTGTGCATGCACACACACACACACACACACACACACACTTGTAGCCAGTAGTTTATCATTTATATGCTACCATGTCATAATAGTCTTTTGGAAATTTGCTTTGTCACTTTCCCTCACATACTTTATGTAGTTGGATTGTGTACGGAACCTGAGCAAGGGAAGGGGCTCAGTTTATGGAGAAGACCAGACCTCTACTTTCATAACCCCAGGACCACTGCCACGATAGGTTGTTTTTGTTTTTGTTTTTGTTTTTGTTTTTTGTTTGTTTGCTGTAGGGCACGTGCACTCGCCAGACAGACAGAGAGAGACAGAGAGACAGAAAGCGAGAAATTATCCCCCAGGGGGATGGCCACACCACAATCCCTTCTCCTCCAGTGTCCTCTCAGGATCTTGGGCATGCACACACACGCACCCAGCGTGAGTTTAAGCCACTGGGTCTGGGACTGGAACCACAGTCAACTACATGGGAGTCCAGCAACATAGCCATTATGCTAACTGCTGGTCCCAATAGGAGATTTTTCTGGATGCTTTTCTCCATCAATTACCTGCCCAATTCTAATTTGAGCTTAATATCACTTCATGTGTTATCTTACTTCCTTGCCAACTTCTCAGGTAGGAAGAATAGAAGATCCCTATTCTTTCAAAGAAGAGGAAACTGATGATCAGAAAGGCTTAAAAACCTCTAAAGGGAAGTCAGCAGGTGGTGTGGTGGTTAAGGCACTGGGCTACCACATGGTTGATCCTGGTTCAAGTCCTGGACCTGGTGGCTTGCTCTCTCATGATCTCTCTCTGTCTCTGGTGAGCATGCATGCCTTGTAGCAAATTGAAAAATAATAATAATGATAAATCAAATTAAATAAGTAATTCTTTTTTAAAAAAACGAAAGGCTGCCAAAGGTCCCATTGTAATAAAGTGGTAGAGTGGAGATTATTGGCATAGTCTGTACCTATTCGCCATACTTCACTAGAATAACCTGTCTGTTCACAAAGAGAACAAGAGACTAAGAGATGACAAATATGAGGTGGATACTAATATAGATCCTAGTCTATCTTCATTGATATGTGAACTTTAGAAACCTTTTTGTGGTTTTTGTATGAAATTGACTTGATTTTGGTTAAGTGCACATGTACCTCTGTGACTGCTTTCCTCTAATGGGAGAAATCGCTAAAGCACTTCAAAGATTTGTCTTGTGAGTGTCACGCTCCTCCCTGGTAGCTCGTTCTCATTGTGAGAAGGTGTATTCTGCCCCTGGGGAGAAGACTCCTTAGGGAGGGCAGAGCCACACTGCAGGTGGTTGCTAGGGCCCTTCTTCATGGCACTGAGCATTTTCTGCCCCTGGGGAATGAAAACAGCCCCGCCTGGTGCTGACTGAGCAGTGCCATAGCACATGAGCATATGTGCTGTGCAGGAATTAAATAATTAATGCGTACTGTTTCATCCTTGACCTGTCTTTCCAGTTATCCAGGTCACACTTATCCGTGCAGGTAGTAGACATGCACTGGTGGCTTGGAGGACAGAGTTGTCTCCAAGAGCTGGTTCTCCACGTCTATTTCACCACTGTCTTGCTGTGCGTGACCTTGAGACAGTCCTTTGCCTTTCTGTGCACAGCTGCCCTTGCAGCTTCTTTTATTTTTTTATTTTATTTTATTTTATTTTTTTTTTTTGAGAGGTTTTTGCTATAGGGTGCGTGCACTTGCCAGAAAGACAGAGACAGAGAGATAGAGACAGAAAGCGAGAAATCACCCCCTGGGGGGATGGCCATGCCACAATCCCTTCTCCTCCATTCTTCTCTGAGGATCTTGGGCACGCACACACATGCACCTGGCGTGAGTTTAAGCCACCAGGTCCGGGACTTAACCCGCAGTCGGCTACATGGGAATTCATCGACAAAACCATTACGCTAACTGCTGGTCTCAGTAGCCTTCTTCTAAATATTATAGGTTTAAATTCAGTGATATCTGTGAAATTTCAATTTCCACAGCAGAAAGGTGTGCCATATAAATTTAGTGTTTTATGGTTTCTGCTCATTTCCATATATTCATACCAGATTCATCAGTAAAGAGGTGGTAGAGGGGAGAAAGTCTTCTTTGTAGCTTGACGTTTTCCTCACCCAAGGGTTATTAGTGAAAAAGTAAGCACAACAAATTTTCTGCCAGGCTGAAAAGGGAAATCCTGTTATTCAACTGG